GACAGAGAAAATACCTTCCTGGACGTGTGTTTTCCTAGGACATCATCCTATCTTATTAACACAGTGACCGTTTCCTCATTAGTGATTTAGAGCTGTTTATTTATAGTTGCTAGTCAGTGTTTTTTCCTGCTCTGGAAAATCCACTTTTTAATACAGTAAACAGTGATGCCAACTATAATTTCTAGTTTGTTTGTTTTTTAAAAAAAAAACCTCAACAATGATGGCTGTTTTCAGGTGCAGTTTTCTCACAATTTTTTTTCAGTAGCCGTTTGCTTTTTCAACTTTAAAAAAGTATAAAAATAAATCTGGGGAGATAGGATTTCAGATCTCCATCTTAGCCAGAAAATTATCTCAGTGTCCTTGGACCAGTCTCTTTCAGGCTGCTTTATCTCTTACTTTTTAGCAAGAATGGCAACAGCGGGGAACACATATGCCGACTTAAGATACAAATGAAAAGGATATAGCATAAAACTCAGCAATTGGTTTTTATAGAACCCCTACACACACACACACACACACACCCCTCCCTGGGAAATCCATTACACCTTATCTATATTTGTTTGGATATTTGGGATGCCATAGGAGGATGCCTTCCAAAGGAAATGACATTAGTTGAAATCCCCCTTTTTTCAAAAAGAAAAAAATGTTCCATCCAGGTGAGGGCAATCATAAATGTCATCCTTAACTTACAACCACATTTGGGACTGGAACTTCTGTTTCTAAGCGAAGTGGTTGTTAAGTGAGTCATATCTAATTTTATGACCTCATTTTGTTGTGGTTGTTAAGTAAATCTGGCTTCATTATTGACTTTGCTTGTCGGAAGATAACTGGGAAGGATACAAATAGTGATCACGTTTCCCAGGACTGTCCTAAATACAAGCCAGTTGCCACTTGTCAGAATCTGGATCACATAACCGCGGGGGTGCTGCGACAGTCATAAGCTGTCATAACTTTGAATGGTTGTTGAACAAATGGTTGTACGTCAAGGATTACCTGTACAACCATGCTTCTCTAATAGGGTCATCATAAAAGATAGGAGAAACAGGCCAGTTTTGGGTTGTCTCAGGGGCGCAGTGGCTCAGAGGTTAAAGACTCTGAGTTTGTCAGCTGGAAAGCTGACAGCCCAGGTTCAAGAGTTCATGCAACAGGGTGAGCTCCTGTTCCTGCCCCAGCTCCTGCCCAACTACCAGTTTGAAAGTATGCAAATGCAAATAGATTAATAGTACCACTTCGGTGGGAAAGTAACAGCATTCCATGCACTGGTATATAGAATGGGATGGGATGGGATGGGATAGAATAGAATAGAATAGAATAGAGTAGAATAGAAATTAGGTATAGGTATAGGAATAGGTATAGGTATAGGAATAAGAATAGGAATAAGAATAGGAATGGAATGGAATAGAATAGAATAGAATAGAATAGAATAGAATAGAATAGAATAGAATAGAATAGAATAGAATAGAAATTAGGTATAGGTATAGGAAAGGTATAGGAATAAGAATAGGAATGGAATGGAATGGAATGGAATAGAAGAATAGAATAGAATAGAATAGAATAGAATAGAATAGAATAGAATAGAATAGAATAGAATAGAATAGAATAGAGCTGGAAGGGACCCAGGAGACCATGCTAGTGACATGGCCACGGAAAATGTCTTCGGACACCGCTGGCTCCCTCAGTCAAGAGATGGAGATGAGCACCGTGCCCTAGAATCGGACACAACTGGGCAGGGAACTTTTTACTTTTACCTTTTCTCTAGAAATACGTGATCATGTTGGAACATGCGGAAGAGGCCTTCATCCTGCAGTGAATAGACAATGGCTAAAATGATGATGATGATGATGATGATGATGATGATGATGATGATGATGATGATGATGATGATGACCCACTTATTTAACATAGACTGAATGCTTTACTATCAAGCATTTCTCATGTCTTCATAAAGGATTGTTATTTCTCCTTTCTCCTAGTGTGGCAAAGCAGGAAGGTGCTCTTGTTAAGAGTCTGAGCAGGAAACCCAATGGCATCACACTGCTTGAGAAGGCGAAAGAAGTGAGTCTGGCTTTGGGGTCCCTTTATCCAAAAATCATCAGAAGTTAAGACTGTGAAATACAGGGGATAAGCAAAGTTGGGGATCAGATGGCGCTCCAAGTGAGCAGAGATGATAGGATGATTAGCTTCATCTGGAGAGCAGCATAATACCAATACCTAGATTAAGATATATTTTGTTCAGTTTGATCTTTAGCATATTTTATGAATTTAGCTTGTGTTAAAATAACAAGTGAAATGACAACTGTAAAACGACAATTGTGAGAGTGTGCCCAATCCTGTGTCCATGGAAACATGCTTAATGAGGACAGTTACAAATCTAGTTGCTAAATCTGGTTAGTTTTCGTAGTTTCCTGTGTGGCATCAACTCAGATTCACTTGGTAATTTATGTTCAGAATATTATTCAAAGGCAGAGAATGTAGTACAGTAATCAGATAACAGGTATTTAGGTTAAATGTTTTAGGCTGAATTCAATTTTATGCTGTGCTACTCAGCTCTGAAGCCCTTTGCCCTTGAAAATTGTTTTTGTGTGAAGATAAAAATGGATGGATGGATGGATGGATGGATGGATGGATGGATGGATGGATGGATAGATAGATAGATAGATAGATAGATAGATAGATAGATAGATAGATAGATAGATAGATAGATAGATAGATAGATAGATAGATAGATATCCCTGATATTTAGAGGAAGGGTAGCAATCAAATTAAATCTAATCAAATGCATTGTTTTTTATTTCTTTTCTGCCCAGAAACTTCTCCAAAATAATACCATACAAACATCTAGATGCCCAAGGCATTTAAACATTAAAAATTGGGAGACTGGAACAATCCTTCAAGATGCATTGCACCATCAGGCCAAAGAGGTAATAAAAATGCTTAGATTTAGGTGTTGTTTTTTTCTAGCTCTCCAGCAGACCACACACAGTTGAAGTGGCCATAGCAGACTCTCCTCTATTCAGAGAAAGCTGAAGGAGATCCAATAATACTTTTAAATAACTGAAGGATTGTTATCTATTATCTCAAGTGGCGGCCACAACTGTTACTGTTACAAGCTTAAAATTACAGGAAGGCGTATCCCCATTAAAATTAGGAAAAACTGTATTAATGAAAGAAGTTGGCAGGGAAACAATTTGTCCAGGAAGGTAGCAGCCTTCCTTTCACTATTCCTGCTTCAGCAGAGGTTGAGCAGGCATCTCTCAAGAATCCATTTGGATTCCTGTTCAGAAGACAAGCTGGAATGCTAGCGCTTCACTTTTGGCTTCTACCTCTAGAAGCTTGCATTCATTTGCCCCCATTTTTTAAAATTTACTGAACGCAAAAGTAAGAAATAAAAAGAATACACAAAATACATAAATAAATAAATACATAAAAGAAAAAAAACTAAAAAGGGGCATGTTTTCACATACATACACACATAGCTGTACAGTAAGGATTTCAGTGAAAGGAAGCCATCATTTGTTACAGTCATCCATTCATTGACAAAATGATTATGTGCCATCAAACTGTTTTCAACATCAGCCATCACATACAGTAAGTAGATCTTCTCCCAGGATGTTCTATCTCCAACCTGGTCCTTCAGGTTTTCCAATGGTCCAGCCATCTTGCTGCTGGTGGTCCTATTCTTCTCATTCTTTACACCTTCCCCAGCAATAGAGCCTTTTCAAGGGAACTGGGTCTTTGTATAAGGTGTCTGAAGTAGGATAAGTTGAGCCTGGTCATTTGTACCTCAAGTGAAGATTCTGGGTTGATTTGCTCAATGATCCGTTGGTTTGTTTTCTTGGTTGTCCGTGTTATTCTCGGGAGTACAATCATCCATAATTAATCCATACTGATCTGAGATCCTGAGCAGATTTCTTCCATACTACACTTACTTCATTGTGTGGGCATTAAACCATCCCAAATGTTAAACCCTGCAGCTGTGCCTACTGCAGATTCTGGAAGTGTTTACTAACCTATCTCTCTTGCCTGCCTCTCTTTCCCAGGTTCTTAACTGTCAGAGCAAAGTTTGCCAGGGATCTCTCATGAATCCAAAAGGGTTAATTCGAGGTCCCCGAAATGAACCCATCCCCAGAGACAAGTTACTACTCCAAGCAACTGAGTTTATCCATCTTTTCTACAACACACTTCAAAAGTGAGTCAGTTTTTTTGCTTATTTTGAGCTTCTGTCCTGTGATTTACCTCCTTTGGGCAATCTTGGAAGGTCTTTTTAAAGGATCTTCCAATCAGGCCCTTTAGGCTGTTATTGGTGTGATACAATTAGCACTAATTGTAGTGCTAGCAGAGCAATAAACTGCCTTTGCGTTGTCTTAAGTTTGTAAGTGAAACAGAAGGAAAAAGCAGGTGATCAGGGAAGGCATGTCTCAGAACACAGGAAAGAACATAGAAAGATTAAAGAAGATTTACACTTGAATTATGCCTTCAGACATCCAAGCTACTTTACATACAATCCTATGGACCACATCAAAAACAGATGTTTGGGGCTTCTGCAAGAAAGGGACAAGGGTCTTCCCGCTCTGACATCTTTGTGTAGATAATGTAAATTATATAATGATGTAATGATGCACATGACATTCTTGTGCCAGACACTTGTGGCAGGTGCAGTGACCCACACCTGCATTCTCAGCTCTTGCATCCTTGGCAAGTCAGATAAAGGGACAACTTCTTAGATAGATAGTTCCACCACCTGCTCTCCTTAAGCCATTCTTTGATGCAGAGGGAGTCTGGAGCCGTCCCACATTCTCTTTGAAAGGAAGAAACCTCTCATGTGCAAAAAGCTTTGCCTCCCAGGGCTAGAGAGGAAGAGTGAAGAAATGAGTGCCTTGGGAGGGTTGACCTTGTTATCTCCAAATAGCTACTGACAAGAGATTAGAAATTTAATGCTGAAAAACACAATTTCTGAACTCCAGGAGAGATCAAAAGAGGGGGAGAGAGCGATGAAGAGAAGCTAATAGGATCTGGCAGGACAGATGGAGGCCTCAGCAGGCCATTTTTGGCCTATAGAACTGAAATTTGTTTGGGTAATTATTCACTTAGAACCATAATAATCTAAGCAGTGCCCTGCTGGATCGGACCCCTAGTCCATTCCATCCAGGAGTCTATTCTCACAGTGGCCAACCAACTAGCCAAGGAAGCCCATAGCAGATGGCCTCCAGAGATAGTCCCATGACTATTAAGGCTAAGAGCCATTGATCCCACGGCTGCTTTGTTTATATTCTGCATTGCAGGTAATACAATAACAGTCATATTATTTAGTGTCTTGCAAAATCTAGGAAGGGTTTCCACTTGAGACCTTAGAGAGCTATGCATTTTCATGCTGACTGGGTTCACACACCCAGTATGGCATAACATAGTTTGCTTGGTTTTGGCTTAGTTCTATGTGTGAACGTAGCCATCTGGATTTCTTCTATGCACTATAGTGGATGAAAGCAATGGCTTAACATACTGTGTGAACCCAGGTATTATATATCTGTTCAGATGAGATCCATATTCTTCAGTGTTTCTCGACTTCAGTCACTTTAAGAAGTGTGGATTTCAATTCCCAGAATTCCTTAGCAAGGTGGCCAGGGAATTCTGGGTTGACGTACATGCATGTTAAAATAGCCAAGGTTGGAAAACAACTGTGTTAGACCAAGACACTTCTGTGCCTGTTTACGGTTGGTGGAAGAATATTTAGCCATGCAACTGGAGAAGAGAAATGGAGCTGATGTTTCCCAAATATGCATGCACTTTTTTAAAAAAAATGTGCTGAGGGCAGTGGTGAAACAATGATATAAAACAGGCAGGATTACCTGTCATTGACGGTTCTCTCTTTGCACTAAGCATTGATTTATCATGTGCCATCAAGTTGTTTTTAACTCCTAACAATTACACAGATTTTCTCCCTCCTCTCCTCTGGTTTAATTGATTATGGCTTAAGCAGAGAATATGAAGCAGTTTCATTGCTGTTTATTGTTATTAATAAACCATGGTTTATGGCTTTTCAGTTTGAGAAACTACTGATTATAGGTAGTCCTCAACTTACGACAGTTCATTTAGTGACCAGTTACAATGGCACTGAAAAAAGTAATTTATGACCGCTTTCACACTTACAACTGTTGCAGCATTCCCACGATCATGTGATCAAAATTCAAGCGCTTGGCAACTGATTCATATTTACGACAGTTGCAGTGTCCCGGGGTCATATGATCCCTTTTTGCGACCTTCTGATAAGCAATACCGATGGGGAAGCCAGATTCACTTAACAACCGTGTCACTAATTTAACAACTGCAGTAATTCACTTAACAACCGTGACAAGAAAGGTTGTAAAATGGGGCAATGTTCACTTAACAAATGTCTCACTTAGCAACAGAGATTTTGGGTTCAATTGTGATTGTAAATCGAGGACTATCTGTGTAGCTGATTAAACACACCATGGAGTATTAAATGGTTAAACCAAGTCATTAGGTGAAGGATCTCTATTATCTAGAAAGCTGTGTTTTAATCTTTGGAGCCGGAGTTTGCAGACATTTGCCGACTACTTCTAATCTTACAAGCAAACAACGATGTCATTGGTGCTGCAAGAAAAAAATGTCTCATTATTATGACTCCTGCAGCAATTTGTCAAGGTAACAAGAAGTTTTACAGGCTCTCTTCTCCTACCAGGAGTGCCATCAATTTAGTCATAGCCAGTGCTTTTTTTCTAAAAAAAAAAAAAAAAAAGGTGCTGGAACTCACACACATCATACAACCCGCTTTGCCTACCCTACAAGGTTCCATTCAAAAAAGGTGCTGGAACTCCGTTTTGGGCATTCTATGAGAAAAAAAAGCCCTATAGGAAAGAATGATGGTTTTGAACATTCACTTGTTTAATAATAATAATAATAATGATAAAGTTGGAAGGGACCTTGGAGGTCATCTAGTCCAACCCCCTGCTCAGGCAGGAAACCCTATACCATTTTGGACAAATGGCTGTCCAGTTTCTTCTTCAAAACTTCCAGTGTTGGTGCATTCACCGCTTCTGGAGGCAGGTTGTTCCACTGGTTAATTGTTCTAACTGTCAGGAAGTTTCTCCTTAGTTCTAGGTTGCTTCTCTCCTTGATCAGTTTCCACCCGTTGCTCCTTGTCCTGCCTTCAGGTGCTTTGGATAATAGCTTGACTCCCTCTTCTTTGGGGCAGCCCCTGAGATATTGGAACACTGCTATCATGTCCCCCCTCGTCCTTCTCTTCGTTAAACTAGACATACCCAATTCCAGCAACCGTTCCTTATATGTTTTAGCCTCCAGTCCCCTTTAGTAGAAACAACGAGAAGAGACATGAGAAAGATCTCAGAGTTGTAGAAAAAATGATCGTGGTGACCAAAACTGGATGCAGTATTCCAAGTGTGGCCTTACCAAGGCATTGTAAAGTGGTATTAATACTTCACGTGATCTTGATTCTATTCCTCTGTTAATGCAGCCTAGCACTGTGTTGGCTTTTTTGGCAGCTGCAACACACTGCTGGCTCATATTTAAATGATTGTCCACTAGGACTCCGAGATCCCTCTCACAGTTACTACTATTGAGCAAGATACCTCCTATACTATACCTGTGCATTTGGTTTTTCTTGCCTAAATGTAGAACCTGTACTTTTTTTCACCATTGAATTTCATTTTGTTAGATAGCGCCCAGTTTCTTCTGTGCATCTCTTTGATTGGGAAATCCCTGAATCATTTCTGAATTAAGTTAACTCCCAATATTGCTTAGTGTACTGTTCACCCCTGTCACCATTTCCTATATTTTCTTTGCAGGGCAGAAACGGAAGAGCACACAACACGGCTGGAAGCAGTGGCTCAAGAGATAGAAAGAACAGGGACTTATCAACTCACCAAAGAAGAGCTTATCTTTGCCACAAAGCAAGCCTGGAGAAATGCTCCTCGGTGCATCGGGAGAATCCAGTGGTCCAATCTACAGGTGATCCATTTGCTTTTGCTCTTCAAGGCTTCCCAGATTCCACCGAAATAGCCAGAGTTCAGCTCATCCTATTCCATAGTGACACTTCCACAAAAATTATAAGACAAAGAGTAGAATTCTGGTCCAGCATGCTAGGACTATGTTTCAGATGCTGTGATGATGTCAATGATTTCACTTAGCAAGGTTCGAAGTAGGAAAGAGTTGGCACATATTTTATTGGACTTTACAAGCTAAGGAGAGATTTAAATTCTTGAATCTGCTTAACTGGATCCCCAATTGTCTGCCTTCTAGAAGGTCAGAATTTATAACCTGAAAAAGAGCACGTTTCAGAGAAAAATGAAAAAGATGAATAAGAATTGATATGTGAAATTGATACTCTTCCTTTGATCTTCTTCAACCGGGGTAGGCAACCTTGGCTCTTTTATGACTCGTGGACTTCACAATTCCTGGCTCAGGAATTCTGGGAGTTGAAGTCCACGAGTCATAAAAGAGCCAAGGTTGCCTACCCCTGTTCTAGGACAATGCTTCACAACATCAGCACCTGTAAGCTGTGCCTGGGGAATTCTGGGAGTAGAAGTCCACACAGGTTGAGGTTGCGAAATATTGTCCTAGAGAGAAGTTGGAGCTAAATAATCTATAAGTGCCCTTTTTGTGAGGATATTATCTGCAAAACATGCTAAACTAACTAGTTTCTAAGATTCAAGTGTGAATTATCGAAGAGTTATTTAGGATTGCAAAAGTTATATTTTTGGGATTTGGTTGGAAAGCGACCTTGGAAGCATGGAATAATATTAAGTTTTCTCATTTGCTAATTAATGCCTTTTAGGTGTTTGATGCTCGTAGTTGCACTAATGCTAAAGAAATGTTTGAACATCTTTGTCGCCATTTGGAGTATGCTACAAACGGAGGGAACATAAGGTATGAGCTGGTTTTTTTTTTTTAATATTTCATCTGGATCTATAGACTCGCTGAGTAAGCTGTCATTCACCCCCACTCTCTTGAAACAGGTCCACCATCACTGTCTTCCCCCACCGGACTGATGGAAAGCACGATTTCCGAATATGGAATAATCAACTCATCAGGTATGCTGGCTACCAGATGCCAGATGGATCCATTGTGGGAGATCCAGCCAACGTGGAGTTTACACAGGTATATACAAAATAAATATTGAGAGTAGTGCGTTTTTATTTTTATTATTATTTATTAAATTTATATTTATTTATTTGTATCCCGCCTTTATTATTTTTATAAATAACTCAAGGTGTTGAACATATCCAACATAACTTCCTCCTATTTTCCCCACAACAACAATCCTGAGGAGAGAATGACTGGCCCAAAATAACCCAGCTGGCTTTTCTGTTAAGATAGGAGTTCAAGTCAATGGCCTCCTGCTTTCTACCCCAATGCCTTAACCACTAGACCAGGGGTAGGCAACCTTGGCTCTTTTATGACTCGTGGACTTCAACTCCCAGTATGTCATATACCTAAGTCAGGGGTAGGCAACCTTGGCTCTTTTATGACTCGTGGACTTCAACTCCCAGTATGTCATATACCTAGGTCAGGGGTAGGCAACCTTGGCTCTTTTATGACTCGTGGACTTCAACTCCCAGTATGTCATATACCTAGGTCAGGGGTAGGCAACCTTGGCTCTTTTATGACTTGTGGACTTCAGCTCCCAGAATTCCTGAGGCAGCATGGCTCAGCATGGTAACCTCTCCCTTTCTCCTCAGCATGGCTGGCTCAGGAATTCTGGGAGTTGAAGTCCACGAGTCATAAAAGAGTCAAGGTTGCCTACCCTTGCACTAGACCAAACTGGCTCTATGCCATTTATCTCCCTGGTGGCTTACAACATCTTAAAAGCATAATATAAAACAATGAGAGCATTAAAACATGAAAAACACTCAGCGTTAGCATTAAAGCCTTAAATATTAACAAGAGATTAAATAAAAGGGACCAATAAATGACTGGGATGGAGGTAGGATCTTCTAAGCTACTAACCACCTCCAAAGTGGAACAGCCCCTATTAGGACCCCAGGCCATTTGGCGGAGCCAGGTTTTGTGGCCATTTCAGAAGACCAAGATGGTAAGGGCTGATCTGACCTCAAAGGGCATGCTGTTCCAAAGGGCAGGAGACAAGCAGAAAAGGCTCTTCTTCTCAACCCCACTAGCTGGCAGAGTCTGTACCCAGTGGTGGGATTCAGCCGGTTCGCACCACTTCGGCAGAACCGGTAGCTATTTTTTTGTTGCCCAGGCCCAGAAAGGACTTCCGGAAGCAGCATCCACACAGACAACCGGTTGTTCACATATTTTAATCCCACCACTGTCCATAACATACCTCTTCCGCAGGAGTGAGTGGGGTGGGCCAGTCCCATTGGGTGAGAGTGTTCCTCAGATAGACTGGACCCATGCCATAAAAGGCTTTGAAGATGGCAACCAACATGTTGAATTGGACCCAGAAGCAAACCTGCAACCAGTGCAGTTCCCACAGCACTGGTGT